GAGCCTCGGCTGCAGGGTCGCCAAGTCGAGGTGCGTCGCGCGAGTTCAAGTGGCAGGGGCACCGCGACGACCTCTTCGCGCCAGGGGCCAGCATGGCCGATAGCCGAGCAGTGGACTACGCGGCGCTGAAGCGCGGGTGGCCCACCTTTACCGTCGACGCCGAGGACGCGCACTACCGCGCCCCTGCGGAGGAGGACGTGCGGGTCGAGTGCCCGCCCGAGGTCGTAGAGGAGTGCCGCGCGAAGGGCGTTTCCGAGGACTGCGTCTGGCAGCTCGCGAAGCAGCTGCCAGGACGGCGCGCTGGGGGCAAGCGCTGGGTCGAGTTCGCGGCGGAGCAGCTCGCGAGCAGGGGCTTCGAGCGGTCGCCGACCGCGCCCCAGTTCTTCTGGCGCGCCGAGCCGCCGTGCCTGGTGGAGCTGCACATGGGCGACATGTGCGGCACCGCGCCTGGACTTGTCGGGTCCGACCTCGTGCTGGATCTGGGCCGTGACATGGAGGTGGAGTGGTCAGGCCTGCAGGGCGAGGGCACCGGCTGCGAGCTCCTCAAGAGGCGGCGCGTGTGGGAGGCCGATGCTACTTACATCCAGCCCAACGAGAAGTACCTCACGAAGGCGCTGGAGGCGCTCGGCCTCGAGGGGGGCCAACCGTGCGCCACCCCTGGGGCGGAGGCGCGCAGGACAGGCAGGGGCGACGCGCCTGACCTCAGCCCCGACGAGGCTAAGTTGTTCAGGGGCGTGACCATGTGCCTGCCATTCTACCTGCACGACCGCGAGGACGCCCGGTTCGACATCAATTACCTGACCTCGCGCATCTCATCGCCTCGTGGTACCTGGAGGGCACGAGGGACCTGGGTGCGAAGATGGCCAAGCCCACCACGCCGCGGGACATCGTCGACCTGGTCGCGCGGACGGACTCCGACTGGGCAGGCGACGCGAAGGAGAGGAAGAGCCAGACCAGCGCGCACATCACCTCCTGCGGGCTGCCCGATGCTCGGGATCAGCTGCCGCCGGGACGTGCAGTCGCTCAGCAGCCGCGAGGCTGAGTGACACGCAGGAGCTCGAGGTCTCAGCGCCTCAGCGAGGGTCTCGGGCTGAAGGCGCTCGCCACGTGCATGGGCTACAGCGTGCGCTTGGGCTGGCGGCGCGACGCTCGAGTGCGAGGGCGTTGGCGAGGCGTCAGGGCACAGGGCGGATCAAGCACCTGGCCACCAAGACGCTCTGGATCCAGCAGCTGGTGGCCAAGAGGGTCATCGTCATCGAGCCCGTGGACGGGGGGGGCAACCTGGCGGACCTCGGCGCAAAGCTGCTGCCGAGGGCGCGCCTCGAGAGGCTCCGAGAGCTGTGGGCTCGTGGAGGCGCCCGTGCAAGGGGCCGCGAGGGTTGCTGCAGTGGGGGCCGCTCCGAGTTCAGCCGACATCCAGACTCAGTTGAACCTGCTGAAGGTGTTGATCGCCGTGGCCGCGTCGCTTCCCACCTTGGCGAAGGGGGGCACGACCGAGCTGTGCGAGGTGCCGCAGGAGACGAGCGAGGGCGCGCCAGCTCCAGATGGGTTGCTGGGGATCGCGTCCGAGGGCTGTTGCGTGAACCTGGACGTGCTGCTAGCCGGCGTGAGCTTTGGGCTCATGATCGCGGTGCTGGTGGCTTCTCTGATCTGCTGGTCGCGCCCGTGCGCGAGGCCGAGGTGGTGCCGCAGTGGCGCCCCGCCTCGCGAGGGCGACGACGGCGAGCTTCATCATTTTCCGATCGTGAAGCGGCCGTGCGAGCCAGCAGTGAAGGCCAAAACGAAGAATAGCGACCGCATAAGATCTGTCCACACGCAGAGCCAGGTTAAGTACACCTGGTGGAGCGCCATCCCCCGCTTCCAGCCTTTAGGAGACCGAGAGCACGGGGCATGGGTCGAGTAGGGCCTTGAGCTGAGAACTGCCCGTCGCGCTGGAGGCGCGAGCGAGGACCTTCGTCGATTGCTGCGAGTCACTGCGGACAGATCCTGTTTCTTCACGTAGAACCCTGGAGAGAGTGGTGTCCCCGAGGGGTGTCCGAGGTGGAGCGGTCTCACCAACCGCTCCCCGCTCGGCCAGGCGGCGTGCTTGGGTTTCTGTGTGATTCCAGGCGTTGCCAATTCAAATGCATCGAGGGTTGCACCGTCCGCAGGCCATTTAGCTCGAGAAGTTTTGGAGGAGAACGATCATACGGCGACGTATGCCCCCTTGCTTACGCGAACTTCCGCCAACTTATGGTTGTGGTGATGATGATGAGGTTGATGGTAATGCTGATGATGATGGTGGCGATGCTGATGCTGATGACGATGCTGGTGATGATGGTGATTGTGATGATGATGTTTATTCTGATGGTGATGTTAATGACAATGATGGTGGTGATGATGATGCGGATGATGATGTTGATGATGATTATGATGCTGGTCATGATGATGGTGACGGTGATGGTGATGTTGATGAAAATGATGGCGATGATGATGATGATCATGCGGATTATGATTTCGATGATGATGGTGGTGATGATGATGCTGCTGCGAGGAGGAGTAGGAGCAGGAAGAGGAGGAGGAGGAGGAGGAGGAGGAAGACGAGGATCGATGTTTGAGTTTTGAGCGCGTTTGCGTATTTTTGCATCGTTTGGGCGATCCTCGCCCCATTGCCCGCCCCTTGTCTCCCCTTCCCCCGCGGTGGAGGTGGAGCTGTGGACGCCTCCCAGGAGGGGTCCGGGGGCGCCGATGGTCCATCGAGGCTTCTCGGCGAATGCGTGTAACGCCCGCCCCTGGGCAACTCGCCCCAATCGTCGCCATCGAAAGAAGGGATTGTTTTGGAAGAGTTGACTTGGAAAAAGTGCCCACACCCAGCGGGCTGGTCAGGGCTGCTCACGGTCCGGTTCGATCAGAGTCGATCCCCAAACCTCGATTCCGATTTCGATGTGGTCCGATCCATCACAAACCGATTCCCTCTCCGGCGGCATGTTGGGGCCGAGCCCTATCCACGATCCCAGACAAGCCGATTCTGATCCGAGTCTGTGCCAGTTCAGGTGCCGATTTGATTTGTGTCCGATCCGATCTTGCAACCAGATCCAGCTTAGGGTTTAGGCCTGTTGGTGGGATTGTAGATGTGGCGGGAGTGTGGCAGGTGCCGAGGCAAGAGCACGATCCGAGTCGACCGACGACGTTCTGAGTTGGAGAGCATGTGCAACAGTGCAGTCTGGGATATCGCGTGTGTGTGTGTGTGTGTGTGTGTCACGAATCAGATGCCAGGGAGTGGCGTTGCCATGAAGAGAGTGGTCATGGGAGATACGGAGCCAGTTTTAATGCACATGTAGGTGTATATGTAAATGTACATGAGATGTACAGAGAGCAGTTGTCATGTGTATGTACATGTGCATGGTACAAGGTGTGTACAAGGTGCAGGGATGTGGCAGGCATCGAGGCCTAGTGCGTTCCGAGTGGAAGACGCAAACACATCTGCTTCCAGCGCACACCGCAACCAGTGAGCTTGTGCAGTGTACGTGGTGCACTGCGAAGCAAGAGGCATCTCCCATCTCCCGCCTCTCCTTCACATCGTCCTCTTGCCCCCCCTTGCTTCCTCCTCCTGTTCCTCCCGCCTCTCCCTCACTTCCTCCCGATCTTCCTCCTGCTCTCCCCTCGCTTCCTGCCCTCATCCTCCTTTCCTCATCCTTACCATCAGCATCCTGCTGTCCCTCGCCTCCTCCTTCTTTCTCCTCTTGCTCTGCTCTCTCCTCCTCCATCGCCAGTCCGGCAAGTGCATTGGATGCCGTGTGCCGAATTGGCCTTCGTCGAAGGCTCCAGCTGCCGCGTTCTCTCCCCCCCTCCTTTGGGCCTGCTCGTGGGCTCCTCTGGCCTCTTCGGCGCGCTGCTGCGCCCCCGCCTTCTGCGGTGTGGCGTGCCCAAGGTCTTCTGCGAAGCCACCCAGCATAGGCTGATTGGGCGTTTGAATTCAAAAACGACTTTGAATTCATGAAGCGATTTTTGAATTCAAACGTCTCGGATTCGAAACGATTCTCACAGGCAGGCGGTCGTGCGATGGCGGGGCAACTTACGGGAAGGCACAGACACATGGGCCCAGGAGATTTTTTGTGGCATCCCGGCCACACGACGCGGAGAGCTGTGCGACCCAGAAGGCGATGGGAGGACGCAGCGGCAGAATACACACTGTAAGGCTTACAACATGCGGAACTTGTTCATCTTGGCCTGAGGGCCCGCCGCGCTGCCCACTAGGGGGCCGTCCTTTGGACGTTCCGCGCGTGTCTGTCTTTCACCCAGCATAGATCTGTGTGCCCGCTTTGAAGCTTCTCGGAGTCTCAGCTTCGCGCTGGACGCACCACGAGCGCGCTGTACGTGCTCGCCAGCCACGGCGAAGGGCTCCGAGGTTCTCTATTTCGATGTTTTTCTCCAGGCCCCGCCGCTCCACCTTGCCCTCTTGCAAAGTGGATTCAGTGTTCGAGGTGCGAGGTAAGCGGCAGGCTTTGTCTTTCCCCCTAAGTTGTGCCCTGCCCGTTGAGTTCAATGGCCAGGCCCGCGCGCAGGCAACTCAATGTTGCATCTGCCAGCGCGTGTGGCTCTTAGGGCAGGCAATTTGAAGGGCAGCATAGAAGTCGTACCTCCCCATATTCCGAAATGAGAGATCAATGAGAGATCGAGCTGAATGGGTTAGAGCGAGCGGGCTCCTCCTCAATCAGCATCCTGCTCCCCCCTCGCTTCCTTCTCCTCCTTCCCTCACCATCCTGCTGCTACCCCCATCGACTCCTCGTTCTCCCGCCTTCTCTTCTGCCTCTTCTGCCACCCATCATCATCCTGCTCCCTCCTCGCTTCCCCCTCTTTCCCCCTTTTCCTCCTTTTCCTCACCATCCTCCCGCTCTCCCCTCGATTCCTCCTCCCCCACCCCCTCCCCCTCCCCCCCCCTCCCCCTCCCCCTCCTCCTCCTCCTCCTCCTGCTCCTCCTCCTCCTCCTCCTGCTCCTCCTCGTCGTACTTGCCGCACAGGAAGACGCGCTGTGCTTCCTCTTCGAGGCGGTCTCAGACTGCTGGCTGCCGCCGGGCTGGGAGGTCGCCTTGTTTGTTTGGGGGGGGGCCGAAGGGGGACGGCGTGGGACGCGCGGAGCGAGCAATACCGCTTTCTCCACGCCAGAGGCCGAGGACGAGCGACTCGGCGTAGTCGGTTTTCTTCAAGTCGGAGAGGAGCGGGGAGGAGAGGGAATGAGAGGGCGGGGGAGGGATGGGAGGAGCAGAGGCCAGGGAAGGGAGGGGTGGGAGGAGAGGGGAGGGGAGCCAGCGGGGAGGAGGGGACAGAGGCGAGAGGGAAGGGGAGGGGAGCAAAGGGGAAAGCTGGATGCGCTTGCGCCATCTCTGTCTGCTGAACATCCTACTCCTCCCACCCATCCTTTCTCATCGCACTGTCTGTTTCTCCGTCCGCCGACGCGTGTCATCGAGGACCTGGAATTCCAAACAAAACCCCATCCTGCGCAATCGGAAAAAAGGGAGCTGCGTACATAGAAGGAAGAGGCCGCGGATGAGCAGGAGGATGATCAGGAGGAAATGGAGGACGATGAGGACTCAGGAGGACGAGGATGAACAGTACCAGCAGGAACTGGAGTGGAAGGAGTGGGAGGAGCAGGAGGACCAGGGGAAGGCGGAGGAAGGGAAAGGATGGGGTCGACAGCGATGAAGAAGGACTCGCATCCAGAACAATGGCCCGCGCTGGGGCGAGAGTGCCATTCTGAACGACGGGAGCAGACCGCCAATTCCAAAGTGAGCTGCAGCTGCAGCACCATATTTGTGAAACCATGTGTGTGTACGCGGAGACGGCGGAACAACTTCTGGAGAGTAATTTTCATATCAAGTGATAGTATACGGGAATGAGCTTCATATTGAGTAGTTGTGCACGGAAGTGGGTAGAGGCCAGTAGGTTGAGGGAGGAGGTGTGGGGCGGGCAGGCCGCGGGGGGATGACGGAAAGGGGCAGGGAACGGGGGTAGGGCGAGGAAGAGGGACCAGAGGAGGATGAGGAGGCGAAAGACGGTCAGCGCGAGGGGGCAGTTCATTTTTTCCGCCAGCTTTCAGCAAGGCAGTACTGAGGATGACCACAGTCAGTCATTCTCTTCCGCCGCCCTCCATCCTCACTCATCTGGTGCCCCCCCCTTCCCCGAGATCATCAGGGACCAGTTCGGCCAGTGCTATTTCGCCAGCCGCCTGACTGGGGAGGCGACGTGGATTCCTCCTTGCCCTGTTCGTCCTCCTGCCGTGCTGGTGAAGGTCGTCGTTGGTCGTGGTCGTGGTCGCCGCCATCGTGGGCATGGTCGTTGTCGTGGGGTCGTGCTGGTGGCGGTCGTCGTCGTCCTCGTCGTCGCCGTCGTCGTCGTCGTCGTCGTCGTCGCTGCACCTGGAGGCGACGTGGTCCCACCCGCTGGCGCCGCAGCTGCGGGAGCTGGCCGGCGTCTTCCGGATGTGCGTGCACTCGGACTCGCCGCCGTCGCTGCCGCGGCTGCCGTCGCCGCCGCCGGCTCAAGGGCCGAGGCTACAGTCGGGGCGCTGAAGAAGGAACCTTTTGCTTTTGGGAGGGGATCCGTGTCCCTTGATTGCTTCACAGTTTGCCTTCGGTTTTCCCTGTAGGGGGCCACGCCCGACCTGATGGCACTTGCGGTAGCTATGGTGCACCATCGTCAGATCGTTCCCTCCCAGTGGGGCCCAGCAGGTTGCGGTCGGGGGCCCGTGTTCGGCGTGTCGATCCGCCGGTTCGGGCCCACCACGCAGGCGCGCGACACGCTGCGCGCGCCGCAGCCCCAGGCCTCCATTTGCCGAGCTTGTCCTGTCAGGCGATAGCAAGCATGAGCCAAGGGGGGACGCTGCGCACGCCGCAGTCCCAGGCCTCCATTTGCCGAACTTGTCCTCTTCAGGCGATCGCAAACATGGACCACTGGGCACACGCTGCGCGCGTCGCGGTCCCAGGCCTCCATTTGCCGAGCTTGTCCTCTCAGGCGATCGCAAACATGGGCCAGGGGGGACACGCTGCGCGCGTCGCGCCCCCAGGCCTCCATTTGCCGAGCTTGTCCTCTCACGGGATCGCAAACATGGACCAGGGGGGACACGCTGCGCGCGTCGCAGTCCCAAGCCTCCATGTGCCGAGCTTGTCCTCGCAGGCGATCGCAAGCGTGAACCAAGGGGGGGGTACGCTGCGCGCGTCGCAGTCCCGGACATCCATTTGCCGAGCTTGTCTTCTCAGGCGATCGCAAACGTGGACCAAGGGGGGCACGCAGCGCGCGTCGCAGTCCCAGGCCTCCATTTGCCGAGCTTGTTCTCTCAGGCGATCGCATGCGTGGACCAAGGGGGAGCACGCCGCGCGCGTCGCAGTCCCAGGCCTCCATTTGCCGAGCTTGTCTTTTTCAGGCGATCGCAAGCGCGGGCCAAGGGGGGGCGCGCTGCGCGCGTCTCAGTCCCAGGCCTCCATTTGCCGAGCTTGCCCCTTTCAGGCGATCGCAAACGTGGGCCAGGGGGGGGGCACGCTGCGCGCGTCGCACTCCCGGGCCTCAGTTTGCCGAGACTGTCCTCCCAGGCGATCGCAAACGTGGGCCGAGGAGGAACACTCCGCGCGCGTCTCATTCCCAGGCCTCCATCTGCCGAGCTTGTCCTCCCAGGCGATCGCAAACGTGGGCCGAGGGGGGGCGCGCCGCGGACGTCGCAGTCCCAGGCCTCCATGTGCCGAGCTTGTCTCTCCAGGCGATCGCACGCCTGGGCCATGGGGGGCGCGCTGCGCGCGTCGCAGTCCCAGGCCTCCATTTGCCGAGCTTGCCCCCTCAGGCGATCGCATGCGTGGACCAAGGGGGGCACGCTGCGCACGTCGTAGCCCCAAACTTCCACGTGCCGAGTTTGTCCTCTCAGGCGATCGCAGGCGTGGGCCAGGAGGGGGGGGGGGGGGGGCGCGCCGCGCGCGTCGCAGTCCAAGGCCTCCCTTTGCCGAGCTTGTCCTCTCAGGCGATCGCAAACGTGGTCCAAGTGGGGGGCGCGCTGCGCGGGTCGCTGTCCCGGGCCTCCATCTTCTTGTCCTCTCAAGCGATCGCGAGCGCGGGCCAAGGGGGGCCGCGCTGCGCGCGTCGCAGTCCCAGGCCCCCACTTGCCGAGCTTGTCTTCTCAGGCGATCGCAAACGTGGACCAAGGGGGGGCGCGCCGGGCGCGCCGCGGCCCCAGGCCTCCATTTGCCGAGCTTGTCCTCTCAGGCGATCGCAAGCATGGGCCACGGGGGGACACGCTGCGCGCGTCGCAGTCCCAGGCCTGTATTTGCCGAGCTTGCCCTCTCAGGCGATCGCAAAAGTGGGCCAGGGGGGGCCGCGCTGCGCACATCGCAGTCCCAGGCCCCCACTGGCCGAGCTCGTCCTCCCAGGCGATCGCAAACGTGGGCCAAGGGGGGGCGCGCTGCGCGCGTCTCAGTCCCAGGCCTCCATTGCCGAGCTTGTCCTCTCAGGCGATCGCATGCGTGGACCACGGGGGGCCGCGCTGCGCGCGTCGCGGTCCCGGGCCTTCATTTGCCGAGCGAGTCCTTCCAGGCGGTCGCGAGAGTGGACCATGGAGGGACACGCTGAGGCGTCGCCGTCCCAGGCCTCCATTGGCCGAGCTTGTCCTCTCAGGCGATCGCAAACATGGGCCAGGGGGGGACTTGCTGCGCGCGTCGCAGTCCCAGGCCTCCATTTGCCGAGCTTGCCCTCGTAGGCGATCGGTCGCAGCCCCAGGCTTCCAATTGCCGAGCTTGTTTCTCAGGCGATCGCAAACATGGACCAGCGGGGCGCGCTGCGCGCGTCGCAGTCGCAGGCTTCAATTTGCCGAGCTTGTCCTCTCAGGCGATTGCAGACGCGGGCCGCGGGGGGGCGCGCTGCGCGCGTCGCAGTCCCAGGCCCCCATTGGCCGAGCGTGTCCTCCTGAGCGATTGCAAGCGTGGACCAGGGGGGGGCACGCTGCAAACGTCGCAGTCCCAGGCCTCCATTTGCCGAGCTTGTCTTCTCAGGCGATCGCAAATTTGAGCCCGAGGGGGGACTTCCTGCGCGAGTCGCAGTCCCAGGCCTCCATTTGCCGAGCTTGTCCTCTCAGGCGATCGCAGTCGCTGCCCCTGGCCTCCATTTGCCGAGCTTTTCCACTCAGGCGATCGCAGGCATGGGCCAAGGGGGGGCACGCTGCGCGCTTTGCAGTCTCAGGCCCTATATGCCGAGCTTGTTCTCTCAGGCGATCGCAGGCGTGGACCCGGGGGGGGGCGCGGCGCGCGCGGCGCAGTCCCAGGCCCCGAATGGCCGAGTTCGTCCTCCCAGGCGATCGCAAGCGTGGACCAGGGGCCGAGCTTGTCCCCTCGGGCGATCGCAAGCATGGGCCAAGGGGGGATACGCTGCGCGCGTCGCAGTCCAAGCCTTCATTTGCCCAGCCTGTCCTCTCGGGTGATCGCAAGCGTTGGCAAAGGGTGGGCGCGCTGCGAGCGTCGCAGCCCCGTGCCTATTTGCCGAGCTTGTCCTCCCAGGCGATCGCAGGCATGGGCCAGGGGGGGGCGCGCAGCGCGCGTTGCAGTCTCAGACCTTTATGTGCCGAGCTTGTCCTCTCAGGCGATCGCAAGCGTGGACCAGGGGGGGGGCGCGCTTCGCGCGTCGCAGTCCCAGGCCCCCATTGGCCGAGCTTGCCCCCCCAGGCGATCGCATGCGTGGACCAGGGGGGGACACGCTGCAAACGTCGCAGCCCTGGGCCTCCATTTGCCGAGCTTGTCCCATCGGGCGATCGCAAGCATGGGCCAAGGGGGGACACGCTGCGCGCGTCGCAGTCCCGGACCTCCATTTGCCGATCATGTTCTCTCAGGCGATCGCAAGCGGGGACCAAGGGTGGGCGCGCTGCGCACGTCGCAGTCCCAGGCCTCCGTTTGCCAAGCTTGTCCTCCCAGGCGGTCGCAAGCATGGGCCAGGGGGGGGGGGCGCGTCGCGCGCGTCGCAGCCCCGGGCCTCCAATTACAGGGCTGACCCCCTCGGGCGACCGCAAGCGTGGGCCAATGGGGGGGCGCGCTGCGCACGTCGCAGCTCCCAGGCCTCCCTTTGCCGAGCTTGTCCTCCCAGGCAATCGCAAACGTGGGCCGAGGGGGGGCGCGCTGCGCGCGTCGCAGTCCCGGGCCCCCATTGGCCGAGTTTGTCCCATCAGGCGATCGCAAACGTCGGCCAGGGGTGGGGCACTCCACGCGCGTCGTAGCCCCAGGCCTCTATTTGCCGAGCTCGTCCTCTCAGGCGATCACAAGCGTGGACCGAGGGGGTGCGCGCTGCGCGCGTCGCAGTCCTAGGCCCCCATTGGCCGAGCTTGTCCTATCAGGCGATCGGAAACGTGGACCAAATGGGGGGCACGCTGCGTCGTCGCAGCCCCAGGCTTCCATTTGCCTGCTTGTCCTTTCAGACGATCGCAAACATAGACCTGGGGGGGGGGCACGCTGCGCGCGTCGCAGCTCCTTGCCGAGCTTGTCCTCCCAGGCGGTCGCAAACGTGGGCCGAGGGGGGGCGCGCTCCGCGCGTCGCAGTCCCAGGCCTCCATTTGTCGAGCCTGTCCTCTCAGGCCATCGCAAGCGTGGGCCAATGGTGGACACGCTGCGCACGTCGCAGTCCCAGGCCTCCATTTGCCGAGCTTGTCCTCTCAGGCGATCGCAAACGAGGGGGGACACGCTGCGCGCGTCGGAGCCCCAAGCCCCCATTTGCCGAGCTTTTCCCCCGGGCGATCGCAAGCATGGGCCGAAGGGGAACACGCTGTGCACGTCGCAGTCCCAAGCCTCCATTTGCCGAGCTTGCGTCGCAAGCGTGGACCGGGGGGGGGGGGGGGGGGGGGGCACGCTGCGCACGTCGCATTCCCAAGCCTCCATATGCCGAGCTCGTCCTCTCAGGTGATCGCAAACGTGGGCCACTGGGTGGGACGCGCTACGCACGTCGCAGTCCGAAGGCTCCATTTGCCGAGCTCGTCCTCTCAGGCGATGGACAATTGGGGGGCGCGCTGCGCACGTCGCAGTCCCAGGCCTCCATTTGACGAGCTTGTTCTCGCGGGCGTTCGCAAACATGGACCAAGGGGGGACGCTGCGCGCGTGGCAGTCCCAAGCCTCCATTTTTCGAGCTTGCCCTCTCAGGCGATCGCACGTATGGGCCAAGGGGGGGCGCGCTACGTGCGTCGCAGTCCCAAGTCTGCATTTGCCGATTGTCTTCTCAGGCGATCGCAAACGTGGACAAAGAGGGGGCATGCTGCGCGCGTCGTAGCCCCAAGCCTCCATTGGCCGTGCTTGTCCTCCCAGGCGATCGCAAACATGGGCCAAGGGAGGGGGGGCGCTGCGCGCGTGGCAGTCCCAGGCCTCCATTTGCCGAGCTTGTCCTCCCAGGCGATCGAAAACGTGGGCCACGGGGGACGCGCTGCGCACGTCGCAGTCCCAAGCCTCCTTGCCGAGCTTGTCCTCTCAGGGGATCGCAAGCGTGGACCAAGGGGGGACACGCTGCGCGCGTCGCAGCCCCAAGTTTCCACTTGCCGAGCTCGTCCTCTCAGGCGATCGCAAGCGCGGGCCGAAGAGGGACACGTTGCGCGCGTCGCAGCCCCAAGCCTCCATTCGCCGAGCTTATCCTCTCAGGCGACCGCGCGCGCGGACCAAGGGGGCGCGCGCTGCGCGCGTCGCAGACCCAGGCCTCCATTTGCCGAGCTCGTCCTCTCAGACGACCGCGAGCTTTGGCCAAAGGGGGGCACGCGGCGCGCGTCGCAGCCCCGGGCCTCAATTTGCCGAGCTTGTCCTCTCAGGCGATGGCAAACGTGACCAAGGGGGGGCATGCCGCGCGCGTCGCAGTCCCAGGCCTCCATTGCCGACCTCGCCCTCCCAGGCGGTCGCAAGCATGGGCCAAGAGGGGCACGCCGCGCGCGTCGCAGTGCCAAGCCTCCATTTGCCGAGCCTGTCCTCTCAGGCGATGGCGCGCGTGGACCAGAGGGGCCCACGCTGCGCACGTCGCAGCCCCAGGCCTCCATTTGCCGAGCTTGTCCTCTCAGGCGATCGCAAGCGTGGGCCAAGGGGGGGCACGGTGCGCGCGCCGCAGCCCCAAGCCTCCATTCGCCGAGCCTGTCCTCGCAGGCGATCGCAAGCGCAGACCAAGGGTGGGCGCGCCGCGCGCGTCGCAGTCCCAAGCCTTCATTTGCCGAGCTTGTCCTCTGAGGCGATGGCCAGCATGGAGCAAGGGGAGACACGCTGCGCGCGTCGCAATCCGGAGCCTCCATTTACCGAGCTTGTCCTCTCAGGCGATCGCAAGCGTTGTCCCAGGGGGGGGGGGGGGGGGGCGCTCTGCGTACGTCGCAGCCCCAGGCCTCCATTTGCTTAGCCTGTCCTCCCAGGATCGCAAGCATGGGCCAAAGGGGGCGCGCTGCGCACGTCGCGGTCCCAAGCCTCCATTTGCCGAGCTTGTCCTCTCAGGCGATCGCAAACATGGGCCAAGGGTGGACACGCTGCGCGCGTGGCAGTCCCAGGGCACCATTTGCCGAGCTTGTCCTCTCAGGCGATCGCAAACGTGACCAAGGGGGGGCACGCTGCGCACGTCGCATTCCCAGGCCTCCATTTGCTGAGCTCGTCCTCTCAGGTGATCGCTAACGCGGGCCAAGGGGAGGGCTGCGCGCGTCGCAGTCCCAAGCGTAAATTTGCCGAGCTTGTCCTCTCAGGCGATCGCAAACATCAACAAAGGGGGACACGCTGCGCGCGCCGCAGTCCCAGGGCTCCATTTACCGAGCTCGTCCTCTCAGGCAATCGCGAACGTGGGCCAAGGAGGGAACACGCTGCGCGCGTCGCAGCCCCAAGCCTCCACGTGCCGAGCTTGCCCTCTCAGGCGATCGCAAACGTGGGCCAAGGGGGGGCACGCTGCGCACGTCGCATTCCCAGGCCTCCATTTGCTGAGCTCGTCCTCTCAGGCGATCGCAAACGTGGGCCAAGGGTGGGGCGCGCTGCGCGCGTCGCGCACGGGGGGGGGGGCGCGCTGCGCACGTCGCCTTCCCAGGCCTCAATCCGCCGAGCTTGTCTTCTCAGCCGATCGCAAACGTGGGCCGGGGGGGGGGCGCGCTGCGCGCGTCGCGGCCCCCTTCCCTCATTTGCCGAGCTTGTCTTCTCAGGCGATCGCAAACGCGGGCCAAGGGGGGGCCCGCTGCGCGCGCCGCAGCCCCAAGCCTCCATTCGCCGAGCCTGTCCTCGCAGGCGATCGCAAGCGCAGACCAAGGGGGGGCGCGCCGCGCGCGTCGCAGTCCCAAGCCTAAGCTTCCACACGCCGAGCTTGTCCTCTCAGGCGATCGCAAACGTGTGTGGGGGTGGGGGGTGGGGGGGGGGGCGCCGAGCGCGTCGCAGCCCCAAGCCTCCATTCGCCGAGCCTGTCCTCACAGGCGGTCGCAAGCGTGGATCAAATGGGGGACACGCTACGCACGTCGCGGTCCCAAGCCTCAATTTGCCGAGCTTGTCCTCTCAGGCGATCGCGAACATGGACCAGGGAGGGGGGCACGCTGCGCACGTCGCAGTCCCGAGCCTCCGCTTGCCGAGCTTGTCCTCTTAGGCGATCGCAAACGTGGACCAGGAGGAGGTGCGCCGCGCACGTCGCAGTCCCAAGCCTCCATTTGCAAAGGTTGTCCGCTCAGGCGATCGCAGACATGGGTCAGGCGGGAAACGCCACGTACGTCGCAGTCCCAAGCCTCCATTTGCCGAGCTTGTCCTCTCAGGCGATCGCAAGCGTGGGCCAAGGGGGGGCACGCTGCGCGCGTCGCAGTCCCAAGCTTCCATTTGCCGAGCTTGTCCTTTCAGGCCACCGCAAACATGGGCCAAGGGGGGACACGCTGCGCGCGTCGCAGTCCCAAGCCTCCATTTGCCGAGCCTGTCCTCACAGGCGATCGCAAGCGTGGATCAAAGGGGGGACACGCTACGCACGTCGCGGTCCCAAGCCTCAATTTGCCGAGCTTGTCCTCTCAGGCGACCGCGAACATGGACCAGGGAGGGGGGACACGCTGCGCACGTCGCAGTCCCGAGCCTCCGCTTGCAGAGCTTGTCCTCTTAGGCGATCGCAAACGTGGACCAAGGGGAGATACGCTACGCACGTCGCAGTCCCAGGCCTCCATTTGCCGAGCTTGTCCTCTGAGGTGACCGCAACCATGGACCAAGGGGGCGTGGATTAGCGACGGGTCCCGTTTCCAGGAGAAGTCGCGGAGTCTCGCCGCCGGACGTGGCGGCATTGGCCGCGCTTTGGGGTGATACGGTCCATGTTCGCGCGCCCCCGACCCAGGTCCGGCTCGATTTTCGCCGAGATTCATTTTTGCCCAGACTGTTTCGCCGAGACGTTCAGTTTGGCCTGGACCGTTTCGCCGAGGACCGTTTCGCCGAGGACCGTTTCGCCGACGGACGGTTTACCCGAAGGACAGTTTCGCCGAGGTTCGTTTCGCCTGGACCGTTTCGCTTCGCCCGCATACACTCCGCCTTTCGTCGTTCGTCGTTCGTCGTTTCCTTTTTCCCTCGACGCCGTCGCCGGCTTCGTCGTTCGGCGACGTAGTTTGTTTTTTGTTCGTTCGTCGTCGCCGTCGCCGTCGTGGTCGTCGCCGTCGTCTGGCGTCGTCGTCGTGGCCGTCGTCGTTCGGTGTCGTCGGCACCGTCGGCGTCCCCGGGAGCAACGACGCGACGGCCGAGACGACGCCGGTCGACGATGACACCGCCGAACACACAAATGACGACCACGGCAACGCCTGGTCGGCGAACGGATCCTCGGCGAAGCGGTCTATGGCGAGTCGATCTTCGGCGACGATTCCGTCCGCTGGCGATCCAGTCCGTAGTCGAATCAATCATTCGGCGAGCTGGCCCCGTGCCAGAATGAGGAAGGGAGGAGGAGGAGGCGGATCCGAAGAGGGTTGGTGGGAGGGTAGGGGCGAGAGGAGGGATGGGGAAGGGAGGAGAGGGTAGGGACAGGAGGAAGAGGACGGGGGGGGGAGATGGGAGGATGAAGATGAAGGGACAGGGATGAGGGGAAGATCGGGGGCAGGGGTAACGAAGGACTTGGGAGAAGGGGGGCAGGGGGAATGAAGGTGAAGGGGGCGTGGCGTGGAGATCTCTGGGCTTTGTAATGATAATTGTTCCCAGATTCTTTGATGGCCAGAGGCGGCCCTCCCCCTTGATGATCCTCGGGACGTGTGTTCGGTCCAGTGTGCGTTTACCTCGCCCAGCTCCGCCGATGGCACGCAGCCTGTGTCGACTCTCGCTGCACCGCCTGCGGCGTGCTGAAGGACTTTGGTGGACGAGCACACTCGTTCCGAGGGCCATCGGCCTCCCCTCCACGACCGCGGGGGAGAGGACGGGCGGAGGCTCTGCTGGTGGGGTCGGGCCCGCCGCCCACAATCAGGAGGAGGAGGTCAGGGACCTCGCCGTGGACACACTGCTCCAGACGTGGCAGGAGCCGCGAGTGGGCCGCGACACCGAGGTCAAAACGAGGAGAGGATGAGTTGTGGGGAATGAGGAGAAGGGTCAGGGAGGAGTGGAGGAGAGGGAGGGAGGGAAATGATGACAGGACAGGGGGAAGGAGGAGGAGGAGGACTAGTTTAAACCCAGGACTCATCAATGATGTTGAAATACACCTTTCCTCCAAGATCGAACTTCATAGGCCCCTACAAGGGAGCATCTCCACTGAGGGAATTGCCCCGTTGGGAGACAATCGTGTGAACATCGTGAAGTGTGCCAACGCACCATTCTCAGGACTTCAACGCCAAGAGTTAAGCTGACTTCTGCGTCTCGGCGATTATGCATCGGGCCAGAGCACCATTTCTGGGACTTCGACACCGCGAATCAACGTAATTGGTGCGCCCTGACAATCCTGAGACGCTCCAAATCTCCGTTTCTGGTGCGTTACCCGTGAGACCCGGTGAGACTTTTGCAAGTATCTAAAACACATGTGCGCAGCGCTCAGGCGAGAGCCACATATTGAAATGGAACCGGCCTCAATCCGTGAAAGTCTTAACATTTTTTAGAACGAATGTGCACGGCGCTAAGGCTAGAGCCATATTTTGAAAACGGCGCGCCCTCAATCCGTGAAATTATTGCGAATTCAAAAAACGAATGTACGCGGCGCTCAGGCGAGAGCCACATTTTGAATACGAGTTGCCATCAATCCGTGAAGCTCTTGCAAATGCTTAAAACATATGTGCGCGGCGCTCAGGCGAGAGCCACATTTTGAAAACGACCTGCCCTCAATCCGTGAAAGTCTTGCAAATATTCATCAGACGCAAGTGCGCGTCGCTAACGCGAGAGCCACATTTTGAAAATGACCTGCCCTCGATCGGTGAAGCTCTTGCACATGTTTAGACGAAAGTGCGCGGCGATAAGGCGAGAGCCACATTTTGAAAACCACGTGCCCTCCATCTGTGAATCTGTTGTCAGCTTTTGAGCATCAGGGCCATAAATGGTGAGGGCGTCTCAGGCGAAACGCCTGGCCCGCCCTTTCGACCAGCATCGGGGTGCGACAGAGAGGAGTTTCCTTCAAGGAAACGGAATGGAGCATGAGGAGGAGGAGGATCTGGCTGCACGAATTTCCGCAAGCTGCCTCACAGTCCTGAATACTTCGCCGATGACCGCCTCATTCCTGACGATGGGTTTAGGTACCCTTTAAGCCTACAGCGCGCTTGGCAATCCCTTCTTCCTCTTCCTCCTCCTCCTCCTCTGGCCTCCCCCTGTTTCGCCTCGTTGTCCTCCACCTCCCTCTCCCCTCCTCTTCCGTCTTCTCCTCCTCCATCCCTTTCAATCTGCCATCCCCCCTTCCCCCCACCCCCTGGGCCGCAGGAGGAGGCCCGGTTGGCGCTGGAGCCCTGGAAGCAGGCCGTGGACTCCGTGGGCGTGCAGTGCTACCAGCACCGGACGTCCAGGGCGGTCTCCTACATGGATCCGGTCCTACTCGTCGTCGTCGCCGCCGCCAACGTAGTCGTCGCCGCCCGCGTCGACGTCGTCGTCAATTCAATTGTCGTCGTCGCCGCCAATGTCGTCGTGGTTGTTGTCGTCGCCGCCAACGTCGTAGGCCCCCTCGTCGTTGCTGTTATGGTCGTCGCCGCCAAGGCCGCGGACGTCCTGCCACAGCTGTACATCAGGAGCGTGGCCCTGAGGACGGCCCCGCGGAGCACGGCCCCTCTCCTGCTGGTCCGCTGGCGCCTTGGGCCGGCTGACCCTGGCGCTGTCGCAGGTATCGCTCCATCCCTGAATCCTCCCTCGCTCATCCCCGTGCTTCTCCTCCTCACCTGTTGAAGATGATGATGATAATGATGATGATGCTGATGATGATGGTGATTCTGGTAATGATGATGATGATGCTGCTGATGATGATGATGATGATTCTGACGATGATGATGCTGAGTTTGATGCTGCTCATGATGACGATACTGCTGATGCTGATGATGATGATGATGAGGATGGAGATGTTGACGATGATGCTGCTGGTGATGCTGATGTTGCGGGTGATGATGATGCTGTTGCTGATGATGATGATTGTGCTTATTATGATGTTGCTGCTGCTGATGATGATGGTTGTGATCAGGATGATTTTGATGATGATGATGCCGATGTTGATGATACCGACGATGATGATGACGCTGCTGATGATGATGGTGATAATGATACTGATGGTGATGGTGATGATGATGATGATGATAATGATGACGATGATGATGATGATGATGATGATGATGATGATCATGAAGTTGCTACTGCCGATGATGCCTATTGTGATGCTGATGCTGATGACAACAATGACGATGACACTGACCACAATGATGATTCGGATGATGATGATGTTGACCATGCTGCCCACGATGATGATGATGATGATGGTGATGATGATGATGCCCTGATAGGCTTGCCCTATAGGAGTCCTAGCTCACTCAAACCCTACTAATTGGTCCGTTGCCCCCCCTCCTAATTCCTATGCCCCCCCCCTAATCCCTAAGGCTATGCCTATACCTATGCCTATCCCCCGCCTTTTTCCAATGCCCCCCCCCTCACGTATGCTTGCTTGCTTGCTTGCACGCTTGCTTGCACGCTTGCTTGCTTGCTGAATTGCGGATTCTTAGCATGCTCGATTCCTCTGATTTCTTGATTTGAGTCGTCTGATCTATTTGGAGTCAACGCTGGCTGATATTGATGATGGTGATGACGATGGTAACGATGCTAAAGCTGTCGGTGAAGGTGATGATGCTGATGCAGATGCTGATGATGATGATGTCGAGGATGCCGATTATGCTGCTGGTGATGATGATGCTGCTGGTCATTATAATGCAGCTGCTGATGATGAGTGTTTGTCAGATGTTGCTGCTGCTGATGATGATGCTGACGATGCTGCTGCTGACGAGGTTGAAGCGGAAGAGGAGGAGGAGGATGGGGAGGGCGGGAGGCCAGGCATGAGGAGGAGTAGAAAGATGATGTTGATGATGTTGATGATGATGATGATTGTATTGCGAGGTGATGTTGATGATGCTGCTGCGGATGATGCTCACGATGATGACGATGATCATGTTGATGAAGTTGATGATGATTGTGATTGTGATGACACTGACGTTGATGCTGATGATCATGCTGCTGTTTGCTGTTGCTGGTCATTGCCATTGTGACGATACAGTTGTGATGATAATGACTGTTATGCTGCTGTTTGCTGGTGATCATCATGCTGAACGTGATGCTGATGACGGTGTTGTTGCTGATGATGCTGCGTATGCTGTTGCTGGTGCTGTTGATACTGATGGTGACGATACTGGTGCTGCTGCTGATGATCGTGATGGCAAGGCTGTTGATGGTGATGGTTACTACGCTGATGATGATGGTACTGATGATGATGCTGCTTCTGAATTTTACGATGGCGATGGTTATGATGATTATGATGGTTATGATAAGTATGATGACAATGCTGTTTGCTGCTGGTGATGGCGATGGTGATGATGATGGCGATGCAGCTTGCGATGGTGTTGCTACTGATGATGCTGGTGGTGATGATTACGCTGATGATGATGCTGCTGCTGTTGGTGATGGTGCTGGTGTTGATTTAGATGGCGGTGATTGTTATGCTGCCGATGATAGTTATAACGTTGACGCTGCTGCTGATGCTAATGATGTTGACGACGATGATATTGATGGTGATGTCTATCATTTTGAAGGTGATGATGCTGATGATACTGTCGCTGATGTTTCTGCTGCTGATGCTGATTCAGACGGTAATGAAAGTGCTGGTAGTAATGATTATGTTGCTGATTGTGATGGTGCTGATGATCATGATGATGATGATGCTGATGATTGTCATGCTGATGATGATGCTGATGATGATGCTGTCGAGAAGGATGTTGCTGCTGATGATGATGATGATGATGATGATGATGATCGTAATGATGAAGACTGCGGTGCTGCTGATGCTGGTTTTGCTGCTCGTGATGACGATTCTGAGTGATGATGCGGCTGATGACGACGACGACAACGATGATGCTGCTGATTATGATGATGACGAAGGTGATGATGATACCGATGATGATGATGCTGGTGATGCTTGTGATATTTTCTGTTGATGGTGATGCTGGTGATGATGCTGTCGCTGATGATGATCGTGAGGTGATGATGATGACGATGATGATGATGATGATGACGTGGCTGCTGCTCATCATGGTATCGATTGTGACGGTGATGCTGATGGTGATGATTATTATGTTGTTGCTGCTGATGACGATGATTGATGGCGATACGGATGATGCTGTCGATAGTGACGCTGCTGATGGCGATGATGGTCATGATGACAATCTTGATAGTGATGACTGTTCTGCCTAGGGTCATTATGCTCATGATGAGGCTGCTGGTGATGACGATGATGTTGATGGCGATGCTGATTCTGCTGCTGATGCTGGTGATGATGGTGACGAGGGTGGTGATGGTGCTGTTGATGGGGATGATTATTATGCTGCTGATGATGCGGATGATAATGATGCTGATGACGATGATGACGCCAATGATTATGCTGCTGATGATTTTGGTGGTACTGCTGATGATGATGGCGATGGTTATTATTCGGATGCTGATGCTGGTGATCTTCATGCTGATGATGCTGATGATGACGATAATGATGATGCTCCTGTAGATGGTGATCATGATTGTGATGACGATGCCGTTGATGTTGATGGTTTTATGCTGATGATAATCCTGATGATGCTGCTGCTGTTGACGATGATGATGCTGATGACGCTACTAATGATGCTCCTGCAGATGCTGATGATAATGATGATGATGTTGATGTTTGCATTCTGATGATGATACTGATGACGCTGCTGATGAGGATGATGATGATGGTGATGATGACGATACTGATGCTGGTGCTGACGGTGATGATGATGATGATGATGCTGATGCTATATAATGATGATGCTAGTGCTGATGATTATTCTGATGATGATGCTGCTGATGTTGAGGTTGCTGCTGATAATGACGCTGATGTTGAGTGTGGCTCTGATTATACTCCTTGTGATCATGTTTATGACGATGACGACGATACTGAATATGCTGTTGATGCTGATGATGATGATGATGATGATGCTGAGTCCGGTGTTCATAATGATGTTGAATGTGATGACTATAATGATGATGCTGATTTTCATGATGCTGCTGCTGATGCTGATGGTGATGGCAATGAAACGACTGATTATGACCTTGCTATTGATGATGATGTTGTTGTTGCTATGGATGTTTGAGTGTGTTAATGATACGGGTGATGATGCTGTTGATGATGATACTGATGATGACGATACTGGTGAGGCGCCTTATGACGATGATGTTGATGGTGACGATCATGCTGCTGGTGATGGTGTTGATGATGTTGCTGCTGTTGCAACTGATGGTGATGCTTATGATCATGATGATGGTGAGGATGCTGGTGATGATTATTATGCTAATGGTGATGGTGCAGATGATGATGATGCTGCTGCAAATGATGATGTTGATGATACGGGCGCTGATGATGGTGTTGATGATGTTCATAATGTTGTTGATGGAAATGATTATTATGCTGATGCTGCTGATGCTGATGCTGGTGACGACGATACTGAAGATGGTGGTGATGCTGATGCTGATGACGATGATGATGAGTCCGGTGATCATGATAGTGTTGAGTGTAATGATTAGTATGATGATGCTGATTCTCATGATGATGCTGCTGCTGATGCTGATGGTGACGGCAATGAAGCGACTGACGATGATGATGCTGTTGATGATGTTTTTGATGACGGTTTTGATGAGGCGGCTTATGATGATGATGTTGATGGTGTCGATCATGCTGTTGACCATTGTGCTGATGATGCTGCTGCTGTTGTAACTGATGGTGATGATTCTGATCATGATGATGGTGAGGATGCTGGGGATGTGCTGATGCTGCTGCGGATGATGTGCTGATGATACTGGCGCTGATGATGGTGCTGATGATGTTGATAATGCTGTTGATGGTGATGATTATGTTGCTGATGCTGCTGATGCTGATGCTGTTGATGATGACGATGATGACGCTAATGAGGATGCTGGTGATGCTGGTGGTGCTGATAATGCTGTTGATGCTGATGATTACTATGCTGATGGTGATGCTGCTGATGATGCTGCTGATGACGCTACTGCTGATGGGGATGACGATCATGATGCTGCTGCTGATTGCGATGGTAGTGATGATGATATTTCTGGTCATGACGATTAGCTGCAGATACTGGAGATGATGCTGATGATGATGACGATGATGAGGAGGATGATGATGATGATGGCGATGCTACTTATGCTGATGATGATGATGCTGATGCTGCGGCTGTTAAATGCTGATGATGCTGCTGGTGATGATGAAGATAATGAAGATGCTGCTACTCTTGCTGATGATGCTGTTGGTGGTGAGTCTAATGCTAATTGTTGTGATGATGCTGCTGGTGTTGATGCTGCTGCTGATGATGATGATGATACTGATGATGACTGGAATGACGAGGCTGCTGCTGATGATGGTGATGCTGATTATGATAATGATGATGACGATGGTAATTGATTGATGATGCTGAAGATGACAATGCTGATGCTGATGATGCTGCTGATGACGATGACAACGCGGATTATGATGATGAAGATGATGATGATATGAGCAAGAGTATGGTGATGATGATGGTCATGCTGATGACGATGATGATGATTCTGATGGCGATGATGATGATGCTGATGTTGATGCTGGTGATGATGCTGACGATGGGCTGCTGATGCTGGGCTGCTGCTGATGATGATGATGATGAGGAGGAGGAGGAGAATGAGGAGGAGGATAAGGAGGAGGGTGAGGGCGTGAGTGCAGGCAAGAACAGGAAGGAGCAGAAGGAGGAGAAGGAGGAAGAGGAGAAGAAGGAGGAAGAGGAGGAGGAGGAGGACAAGGAGGAGGAGGAGGCGGAAAAGGAGGAGGAGGAGGAGGAAGAAGAGCAGGATGGGGAGGGCGGGAGGGCAGGCAAGAGGAGGAGGAGGAGTAGAAGAAGGAGGAGGAGGCGGAGGAGGAGGAGGAGGAGGGGAAAAGGATGAGGAGGATGTAGAAGGGAGATCCCTCTTCTTTCCTCCGCTCCCCTCCCAGAAATCTCCTCCTCCTTGCTCCATCCCCAAACATCCGACGGTTTGTTTTTTCAATCCGCTGCCTCAGAGCTTCGGACCCTCTTCCTGGGGGCAGTTCTTCGCCCCAGAGCTATTCTTGATGGTCCTGGGGCCCGCGAACGGACCCCACAGGCAGAAATCTAGGACAACAGCACAGCGATAGACACAAACCATACCGTCGGATAGCTGGGAACTGGGAACTCTTACTCCCCTCTCCGTCATTACGTGGCAGCGTCCGTGTTGAAGCCAGCTTGGGCGTTAGGGGACCCGCTGGCCTGGGTCCGGACTTCGCTGGGGTGCAGGAAGTTGAGAGCTGCAAGCTACCGGGTCGACAAGACGGAGGAGGTCAAGGCCCAACACGAGGGAACATGTGTGTTGGAACATGGGCCCCTTGTTCAACGTGGCACAGCCGTCCAGGTTTCGTTCCGAGGACCGCCAGAAGACCGCCGGAGACCGCCAGGAGACCGCTGAAAACCGCCGCAGGCCAATGGGTAACGAGGGCTTCAGGGTCGAACACGGATAGAAAAAAGGAATTTTGAGGGACATGGGTCCTGAGTTTTTTCGAGGTTCTGGGGCTCCAGGGGCCGCCCTCCCTGGGCCCTTGGGCCGCAGAACCGACAGCAATCAATTCATTCAGCACGAACACTCAGTCCCAGGGGACGCCTCGGGGGGTGCAGGACCCTTGTCTTTCAGGACCCGCGTCTCTCGTTGCAGCAAGGCCCTCGTGGGCCCTCTGCAGCAGCATTTGGTGGACGTGCAGATGCGGCAGCACCAGCACCAGATGCAGCAGCTGGAGCAGGATCAGCAGGACAAGCTGAATCAGCTGCAGCGCCTGCACACTCCGCGGAAATCCGAGTCGCTGGAGAAGCAACAGCAGCAGCAGCAGGCGCAACTGAGGCAGCAGGCGCAGCAGCAGGCGCAGCAGCAGCAGCAGCAGCAGCAGCAGCAGCAGCAGCAGGAGCAGCAGTGGGCGCAGCAGTACTGGCAGCAGGTGCAACAGGTGCAGCAGCAGCAGGTGCAGCAGCTGCAGCAGCAGCTGCAGCAGCAGATGCAGCAGCAGGCGCAGCAACACCACCAGCAGCAAGTAGAACTCCAGAAGCACGTGCAGCTGCTGGGTCAGCTGAAGCGCGAGCAGGATGTCGAGGGGCGCCGACCATAAACCAGCACCGATCCTGGTCAGGCTTCTGGGCCAAGGAGGGGTGCATACACCCTCCTAGCCAAGCCAGGAGGAGGAGGAGGAAATGGAGGAGGAGGAGGAGGAGGAGGAGGAGGAGGAAGAGGGGAACGAGGAGGATGAGGAGAGGGAGGAAGAAGAGGAGGAGGGGAAGGAGGAGACGGAGGAGGACGGGGAGAACGACGAGGAGCAGGAGGAGGAGGAGGAGAAGGAGGAGGAGGAGAAGCAGGAGGAGGAGGTGGAGGGGGAGGAGGAAGACAGGGAGGAGGACGAGGAGGAAGAGAAGGAGGAGGAGGAGGAGAAGGAGAAGGAGAAGGAGAAGGAGAAGGATGAGGATGACGAGGAGGAGGAGGAGGTCGAGGAGGAGGAGAAAGATGAGGAGGACGGGGCGAATAATGCTGATGTTGCTGTCGATTCTAATTTCTAAAGAATTATTATTGGTTACCCCCCTGCGCAGTAACCGTTGCATGTTTCTATTAAGTGCTTCTCTCAGGGCTCGCACCCTTCTTTTTACAAGGGAAAGTGAGGTGTCTCCAAACTGTGCCCCTAGCGCCCAGTGTACAGCAACAACGGCTCCCGCCTGCCGCATTTCCTCCGAATGTATTCCCACATCGCGCTCTCGCGTGGGACTTACTCACGCTTAATCCAGGAATCGCGCTCTCGTGTGCGCCTGCTACTTGCCCCTTCCTTCCATCCGTCCTCTCTTGCCCTGCCTTAGGTGCTGCAAGTAACTCACGTTGCAGGTAAGAAAGATATATACCCCTAATGGGAGTACGATCGAAGACGAAGAGGGCGGGTATCGAGGGTTGAGGATGTACGTGTTGAATATTGAATGGCACGCGAGCAGATAAGAGCGAGCAGTCTTAAACTGGTGGTAGTTGTTGCTGTTGCTGTTGCTTTTGCTGTTGCTGTTGCTGGTACTGTTGTTGTTGCTATTATTGTGGCTGGTGTTGTTTTTGTTGTTGATGCTGATGATGGCGATGATGATGGTGATGACGATGGTGGTGCTGCTGCTGATAATGATGATGCTGGGAGATAAGATGATGCTGATGATGCTGATACTGATGATGCCGCGGCTGATAATGCTGTTGTTGATGGTGATGATGCTGCTGATGGTGATGATGCTTATGATGATGTTGCTGATGACGATACTGGTGATGGTGATGGTGATGATGATGCTGCTGCTGCTGATGATGCTGCTGGTGCTGCTGATGATGATGATGATGATGCTGATGACGATACTGGTGATGGTGATGGTGATGATGATGCTGCTGCTGCTGCTGATGATGCTGCTGGTGCTGCTGATGATGATGATGATGATGCTGATGCTGATGCTGATGATAATGATGATGATGATGATGATGATGATGATGCTGATGATGATGATGCTGTCTTCGGACGGCGCTAGGGTGATGTTAAGTCCTAAGCCAGTTCAGCACGCGGTCTGAACTCGCGTGGGTCTTAAACTCTACCTCGTGCCCTCGGTTTCGGAGCTCCCTGGGCCCATAGTTTGGCTTTCTTGGGGCAATTCTGGGCCATCTTTAGTGGCTTTGTGGGGCTTTCTGAAGCGTTCCATAGACGATCTGAACCCAGACGGCCCTGGGAGCAAACAACAATTATCGAATGTCCTTCGGCCCATCTCGTGACCGTGCCCGGGTTGTGGGTCTGATGCATCTTGGATGTTCCTTGGAACCCATGGTGCCAGGTTTGAGTCCTCTCGGGGCCGTTTCGGGGCCCCTTGGGGCGTCTTGGGGACCTCTTGGGCCAGAAGACTCGGATTTTCGGTTCATGTTCCCCCTCTTGGGCCTTTCTTGGGGCCTCTTGAGCCGTCTTGAGCGCCTCTTGGGCTGTCTTGGGGCTCTCTTGGGCCGCCTTAGGCCCGTCTTGGGGGCCTCTTGGGCCGTCTTGGGGCGATCTTGGAGGCCTCTTGGGCCGTCGTGGAACGTCCGGAAGACGAAAACACGATAATGCTAAAGTCATAGGAAAACCAAGTGGACATATGCAAGTTTGACCTGGTGGGGCCCTCTTAGGGGGCGTCTCGAAGGCTTCTTGAGCCATCTCGTGGCCATCTTGCAGTCTTGGACTGATTTTTCGGCAATTCGGGGTCTTCTTGGACCGCATTGCGGGCCTCTTGGGACTGGCGGACGGTCCTCCGGTTTTCTATGGTTTTCGACTCCTCGGGCCCCGCTGGAGACTCTTGGGATATCTCGGAGTCGTCTTGGAGCCTTTTCGGGGCTCTTTGGGCATTTGGATGTTCTAGGGCTTTCGGTTTTGATTATTTTTAGGCGTCTTGAGCCGTCTGGAGGCCGAACTGAACCCTGGAAAGCCAAACAAGGGAGGACAATGTTCTGAGCCAACGCACTGCGAAGGGGGCCCTAGAAGCATTCAAGAAGGCGTAACGGACAGCAGCTGTGCATTCTAACACGCCCCACCATGCCGCTGGCGCGGTGCGGGATTTTCAAGCAAGAGTAGGAGATGAGGAGGAGGGGGAGGCGGACCAGAGTTAACCCAAGATGCATCAACGATGCTGCCATACGCCCACCCGCCCCAAGTCCCCTCCTCCTAAGCCCCCACAGTGATCACTTTTTCACTGCGGGAGGTACTCCCATGAAAGACGAGCGCTAATGGTCTTGCAATGCAGGCCAGAGCTCCGTTTTGAAAGCGAGTTGCCATCCATGCGTTAGCTACAAAGGCGGTGTCGAGGCAGGATCATAAGGTTCTGCGACGTAGTCAGCATGAGCCTCGCTCTCACAAAGGTCAGTTCTCAATCCGTGCAATGGTTCTCCAATTTGCGATGTATGGTCGTAGACACTAAGGGAGTCTCAAGGGAGAGCCCCGATTTGAAAAGGAGCCGCACTCTATCTGTGTGACCACGAACAGTTCGTTTCAATAACCGATGCGTACTCCATCCGTGCAACTGTGAAGATCTGTTCGACGAGTGTGCGCGGTGCTGGGGCGAGAGCCACATTTTGAATTTGCATGCAGCTTTCACGACGAATGTGCGCGGCGCTAAGATGACAACCACATTTTGGAAACGACTCCCATTCATCCGTGCAGCTGCTGGTAGCTTTTAAACCAGATGTGCGCGGCGCCATGGCGAGAGCCACATTTTTACAAAGACCCCCCTCCAATCGTGTAAGCGTTCGAAGTTTATGAGGCGAAGTAGTGCGGCGCTGAGGCGAGCGCCACATTCTGAAAACGATTCCTCCATCCGTGTAATTTTCGATAGCTTCTGAGACAATAGTGCCGGGCGCTGAGGCGAACACCATATTTGTTTGAACACTTCCCCCCGTCTATCCATGTAGTTGGTAGTTTTTTTTGTTTCTTTTCAAATTTTGCGGTCATAAGCGGGGGGGGAAGTCTCAGGCGAAACGCCTGGCCCATTCTACCACCGACACGTCTGATGGCTAGACGACGCGGGTTTACGTGTGAGGAAGGGACGCAGGAGGGGAATGGGGATGAGGAGGGGATGGGGCTGGGGATCGGGATCGGGATGGGGATGGGGATGTGAAGGATGATGATGATTATGATGATGTTGACGATGCTGATGTTGATGATGCTGATGATGATGATGCTGATGCTGATGCTGATGCTGATGCTGCTGATGATGAGGATGGTGACGCTGATGATGATAAGGTTGATGATGCTGATGATGATGCCTGTGATGATGATGCTGATGAGGATGATGATGGTGCTGCTGCTGCTGCTGATGATGATGCTGATGCTGATGATGATGCTGCTGTTGATGATGATGCTGCTGTTGCTGATGCTGCTGCTGATGCTGATGGTGGTGGTGGTGGTGAGGATGATGGTGATGGTGATGATGATGGTGCTGATGCTGAAGCTGATGCTGCTGATGATGATGATTCTGATGGTGGTGGTGATGATGATGCTGATTGTGATGATGCTTATGCTGCTGCTGCTGATTTGGATGATGATGCTCATGGTGCTGATGGTGCTGCTGATGCTGATGATGCTGTTGTTGATGATGATGCTGATGCTGCTGATGATGATGATGATGACGATGATGATGATGATGATGATGATTAGGATGATGATGATGATGATGATGATGATGATGATGATGATGATGATGATGATGTTGCTGATGATGATGATAATGCTGATGATGATGGTGGTGGTGGTGATGATGATGATGCCGATACTGACTGTGATGATGATGATGATGATGATGATGATGATGATGCTGATGCTGATGCTGATGCTGCTGCTGATGATGCTGGTGATGATGATGATGATGATGATGATGATGATGATGATGATGATGATGATGGTGATGGTGACGATGATGATGCTGCTGCTGATGATGATGGTGCTGATGATGATGATGATGATGATGATGATGATGATGATGAGGATGAGGATGAGGATGATGATGAGGATGAGGATGAGGATGAGGATGAGGATCAGGATGAGGATGATGATGAGGATGACATGGATGACGATCATGACGAGGATGACGAGTATGACGAGGATGAGGAGGATGACAAGGAGGGGAGGAGGAGGAGGAAGAGGAGGAGGAGGAGGAGGAGGAGGAGCAGAAGGAGGAGGAATTATCCAGGAGGTTAGACAACCGTAAAAGGGACAGCCAGTGGGAGAGGGGGGAGGGGAAATCAGGAGGGGGTGGCATCGGAAGCTTTTTGTTCCTAGGCGGGCTGTGACGGCCACGCCTGGGCCTGCCGAGGGTACCTCCACAAATTCAGCCCTACAAATCTTCGGGCTCGGCCGCTGGCCCAGCTTGACGAGCATGAGCTTCAGCATGACGTGCCACTACGCTCCTCCCAAGCTCCTCTACCTCCGCACGGGCTTCGAAGCCAAATCGCAGGAGCATTGAGTCGATGCCCATCCGCATATCAGGGCCCGGCATCGAAAAGGGGGGAAGCTTTACACTTGAACCTGCATATCATCCTCCAGTGCCACGCCAACGGTGGCAGACCAACGTTCTCGGGTGGCCGCGGAGGAGACGCGACGCTGGGCTCGTCCAGGGCGACACGCGGGTCAGAAGGCGCAGGGGGCCTCTCAGACGCTTGCGAGCCGTGTAGGCTGCTACCTTTTATCTCGCGGCGCCCCCGGCAAGGCTTGCACATGCCTTTCTGGTGGGGCTGCGCAGCAAAACCCGTAGCATGTCGTGCAGAGAAGGATCGGGTCTCCTCCAGGACCCCACCCTCTAGGATAGCATTGCGGGATTATGGAGGATGAGGAGGAGGAGGACGAAGAGGAGGAGGAGAAGGAGGAGGAGGAGGAGGAGCGAGGAGGAGGAGCGAGGAGGAGGTGGTGGCGAAGGAGGAGGAGGAGGAGGAGGAGGGGCATGCCCGCCGCCGCCCGTCCCCACCCTCCCCATTCTTCCAGAGGACGAGGAGCGCGACGAGATGCAGCAGCACCGTCGGCAGGTGTGGGAGCTGCTGAGCCAGAGCCAGGTCGGGGGTAACGATAGGGGGGGATCGACATAGGGGGGGGATGCAACGACCCCCAATCGCCCATTACTCGCCGATAGGGGCCCGATAGCCCCAACCTGCACAGGAAGGTGCGGATTCACTATCGGGGGCCCATCGCCGATCTATGGGCGATGTATCGCCGATTCCAGGTCGATGCATCCCCGCTGTGCAAGTCCCCCCTATCGCTGCCCACCACCAGGGTAGCCAAGAGCAGCAGCCTGTCCAGCAGCAGACGATCAGGACGCTGGGCAGCCCGAGTGGGGCCGCGTGCAGCAAAGCGCGTATGCACACGCGCTGGACGTGGGGGAGCGCGGAAAGCGCACATGCGGGAGTGCGGACAGACATGCGCGTCCGTTTGCGGACAAGGGCACACTACTCTCAGGAGGGAAAACCACACAGACACAATTAATCGACGATTCCCCATAAAATATGGGACAAAAATGGGAAGTGGGGGGGAAGGCAAAAACCCAGAAAGTATATGGAAATATAGGGGGAATCCTGATATTTGTGTGTATTTGTTTGTCTGTCCCGGGGCCCCTTCATACCCTTTCTGCCGCATCCCCGCGTCCAGGATCCGGGTCGCCCAGGCTCCGAAGGAGGAGGAGGGCAGGGACGCATGCACGGAAGGAGGGAGGGGGGGGGGACGACAAGCGAGGGCCGAGAGGCGGGGGCGGAGGGCGCAGGGGAGGCGAGCGGCAGGAAGAGACGGCCGAGGTAACGCGGGCGAGGGGGCCAGGGCACGTGCGCCGCTCGCGGCTGCCCTCTTAGGCGTCTGCCTAGATGTCGGGCAGGCGCCGGCGGTGTAACTTTTGTGAGACACGGTCAATGGAGAGGAGACGTATTGCTGACTAGTTGCCAGATGTCTAACGCATGTGTGAAATTTGTTTCTGGAAACATGTTCCGAGCATGCTCGACGCGTGCAGAATCTGTTTTATAGAGACGTGCTTAATGCAGTCATGGAACGATTAGAGTGTCCATTGCCATGGCATCCATACGTGTGACGCCCCGCCCCCGGGGACGGCGGAGCGGCCCGCGACGGCGCGCCTGCACGTGGCGTGCACGGGGCTGTGCAGCCGCACGCGAAGTGCACGGTCGCCCAGATGCGCGGGCCGCGCACGGCCGCGCACGGCAGTGGGCCGTGCATAGCCGCTCCTCCTCCTCCTCCTCTTCCTCCTCCTCCTCCTCCTCCTCCTTCTTCTCCTCCTCCTCCTCCTCCTCCTCCTCCCTAGGGTTCGTGGCGCTTTCCCCGGGGGCCGCGGTGCTCCGCCATGGGTCGGGAGCCTTGACGTGTCAATGCAAACAGGGGTCAGCCAGAGCGCCGGATCTTGCAGGATCCTGCAGGGCCAGGGTCGTATTGGCCCGGGTTTGGGTGCAGGATCCTGCGCACTGGCCCGGGTTTGGGTGCAGGACCTTGCAGGATTTTGCAAGGCCTGACTGGCCCAGGTCTGGATTGACCCGGGTCAGAAGATCCCCGAGCTCCGAACGAGCACCTGCGCCCGTGCACGCACGTTGGCGAACGTGGGTGCGGAATGGACGTTGGGGGGGGTCGGAGTGGGTGGTGAGGACTGGGGAGGATATCGTATGGCTGGGGCCACGACATCTCACCGATGCCATGGCCCTCTCTTCTTCTCCCAATATGTCCCCCTGCCCCCCCTGCTGTCCGCCCACATGCCCTGCGCCATGATGCGCGACCCCCGTCTTCGTGGCCCCGACAGCTGGGGTCGAAGAATCACGCCGCATCGGCGATGCGACGCGCTGCAGAGCCCGATTTTCTTCACCCCGACGTCCTCGATGCATCCCTGATGCAATGGCGGTGCGGTGCGCTATCCCGACCCCGTCTGCTCTGGCCCCATCTGGGCGGCCTCCACAGGAGCCCGCAGGCCCGGCAGCAGACCTGGAAGCGGTCGCAGGTGGTCCCAGAGATGCAGCAGGACGAGTTCCTGCCAGCAGATGCCGCGGGCAGCGAGGACAGACGGGATCTGCCCGCCATGAAGGAAGAGGGTCCTGAGGGAGGCAGGTCTCAAGGGTTCTCGCAGTCTCTGGCCGCCTGGGGCCCTCCGCGCCCTCCACGGGCCCCTGGACCGTCAACAAAAATTTGCAGGGCGTAAGGCTGGTCTTGGGCAAGGCCCCTGGGTTCCAAGTCCCGGTTCCCTCAGGACCCGTTTCCTTCGTGCCAGGCCCGGCCACCCGAGCCCTGCCCATGCCTCTTCTCCGTCTTGCCCTCCCCCCTTTCTCTTCTTCTGCTGCTTACGCGACTGCGCACAGGCATGCGTGCACATTCACGTTCAACCAGCCAGGGGCCGACAGAGAGGGTGGATGGGTCTTAGTAGATCTCACGCACGGTTTGTCATTATAAAATCACATCATTGGCAACATCGTGAGTACCATCGTGAGTGCCATCCTCACCTGGGAAACGCGTGCCGTAATATTGCACATATCCGGCGGGGTACGATGCCAAAGGAAGGCCCCCAGTTCGGGGGCAGCAAGCCTCAATGGTGGGGCCAGGGAAGTCCCCGAGGGCCGGGCCGACTTCCAGGCCGCCTCCGCCCCGATCGTGCCCGAAGGGCACCAGCAGGCCCGAGGAGAGCGCGCGTATCGGAGGTTGATAGAGACACCCCGCCCTTGCCAAGTCGATGATCGAAGTGCCCTCTTTCGTTTCTCGAGCGGGCGTCGCGGCCGCAGCCTCTGCGGTCGGTCTGGTCCCAGTCTGTTTTCACTAAAAGGTGCTCTGCTGCAGGGGACTCTGTCCCCCCCCTCCCCCCCCCAGAGAGTAAGGGACACGAGGCCTCCCGAGGGGCCCAGCGACAGCTTGGACGCCTCCAAGAGGCTCTCAAACGGGCCCCAGGGGCCCGCCGAGGACTTCTTGAGAGAGGCCCACCCTGAGAGCAGCCTTCGTTCATTCTCTGCTGCTCTGCATGATTGCCGCGTGCTCCCCTTTCCAGAGCAAGAGCTGCCAAGACTGCCCAAGAGGCCCGCCAGATCGCACCAAGACGGTTTACGGGCCCCAAGACGTTCTGGGTCACACCACGTCTGGTTTCGGTAGCGCTTGCCTGGCATCATAAACACGCGTCTTCACCGCGAGGAAAAATAAAACAGAAGGGAGCAAGACTTTCCAAGATGCCCCTCCAGACGACCACCACACGGCCTCGAGAGACCCCTGGACACGTCGCCTGACACATCCCCTTGGGCCCCGAGACAACCCTCAGAGAGTCTTCGAGAAGGCACCCAGAACGACCCTCCGTTCCAAGCTTGTCTAACAAATTCAGTGTGCACGGCCGTTTGTCCCAGGCAGCTCTAAGGTCTCCCGTGCCACCCCCCTGATCCCGAGTGTAGCCCCCTCAGTGGTCCGCGAATGGTTCAGGATCGCCTCCCTGATGCCTCCGCAGCAGCCAGCGCAACAGCCCTGCTGGCTCGCAGCAGGACTTGACAAGAGAGGTGGTCGCATGTCGAAGGCATCGACCCCCACCCTGAGCAGATCGTAGGATAAAACGACCTGTTGCGCAGGTTGAACTGCTTGAGTGGGCAGCGAGAGAGAGATTCCTGATGCCTCCACATGCGCATGCACCGAATGCGTTCTGAAAGTGCTCTCTCCGTGCTTCCAGTTGTCCTCGAGGCGTGGACGATGCAAATGGTACGCCGAGCGGATGACCTCTGCCGTGGGTTACCTCATCCCTCTTCCTTCCTGCAATTCGTGCTCGCTTCGCTCATTCCGCCGGTCCATGTTGCATCTCTGTTGTTTTCTGTTGGCGTGCTCGTGGCGAGCAAGAAGGAAGAGGAGGAAGATGAAGTGGAGGAGGAGGAGGAGGAGGAGGGGGAGGAGGAGGAGAGGAGGAGGAGGAGGAGGAGGAGGAGGAGGATGCATCTCGATTTCTTCTTGGGGCACTCTCGGGACCAGATGGTGACGTGGACAAGACGCGTTGTCAAGAGGCTTCGTACTCTTGAGCTTTCACTGGGGATTCTTCTACGTCTCTGTGTGCGACGATGTCGCAGACGCTGCAGCAAGTTCTTTCTGGCCCCTGAGACGTCCATCACTGCACCCTGCGGTGATTGATTACGTGCGCAATCTTCGATTGGCCTAGTTGTAGATGTGTGTAGCATCTATCAAGTAACTCACACGCCAACCTGTGAGTGACATGTGACATTCTCAGTGGTGACGCCCGTCGATCCTGAGGCCACCGTGTGCCCGCATTCCATCTCTTGCCAGCGCGATGGAAGTGTGTTGGAAGAGGTGATCACCATTCAAATCCGTAAGGGCTTCGCCCCCTGTCGCCGGCCCCCTCTCTCGGAGAATGGGCCATGGAAGAGCTAAGTCATGAGGCTTTGGCGCTGTCGTGCAACAGTATCGGAACTTCATGCGAGGCCGATTCGCAATCGGCAAAACCAACTGATCACAAGAGGGGTTACCACACAGGGCGATTGGTAAGACGTGTATGGTTTACGAGCTTGGTTACCACACCTGGGGATTAAAGGGCCGAGGGAGTACTCGCAGTTTGGGTTACCACGCCTTGCGATGGATGTGCGTGAGGGGTGGCACCGAATTTCAGAAATGTGGCAAATCCCCTGTGTTTTTGGACCCTGACCCCGCGGATCTGCGTGAGGGGTGGCACCGAATTTCAGAAATGTGGCAAATCCCATGTGTTTTTGGACCCTGACCCCGCGGATCTGCGTGAGGGGTGGCACCGAATTTCAGAAATGTGGCAAATCCCATGTGTTTTTGGACCCTGACCCCGCGGATCTGCGTGAGGGGTGGCACCGAATTTCAGAAATGTGGCAAATCCCATGTGTTTTTGGACCCTGACCCCGCGGATCTGCGTGAGGGGTGGCACCGAATTTCAGAAATGTGGCAAATCCCATGTGTTTTTGGACCCTGACCCCGCGGATCTGCGTGAGGGGTGGCACCGAATTTCAGAAATGTGGCAAATCCCCTGTGTTTTTGGACCCTGACCCCGCGGATCTGCGTGAGGGGTGGCACCGAATTTCAGAAATGTGGCAAATCCCATGTGTTTTTGGACCCTGACCCCGCGGATCTGCGTGAGGGGTGGCACCGAATTTCAGAAATGTGGCAAATCCCCTGTGTTTTTGGACCCTGACCCCGCGGATCTGCGTGAGGGGTGGCACCGAATTTCAGAAATGTGGCAAATCCCATGTGTTTTTGGACCCTGACCCCGCGGATCTGCGTGAGGGGTGGCACCGAATTTCAGAAATGTGGCAAATCCCTTGTGTTTTTGGACCCTGACCCCGCGGATCTGCGTGAGGGGCGTCGATTTCGAGCCCCCCCAGCAATTCAGACAACGCGCCCAGGGGGTGCTAAAAATCCCGTTTGGGCTTCCCCCCCCCTCGCGCGGTCAATCATCTAGTTACAGTAACCAGCAAGAAGCAGAACTGTAACACTGGAAACTACAACCTACGACTGGTACAGGAAACTGCGAACCTCGCGCCTACAGCCTGGTGGCCCCACAAGGGGGCCGGCGGATTTCTATTTACAGGGGATCGATTGTCTTTGCCTCTTGAGGCCCTCTTGGGGGTCTCTTGGTGCCTTCTTGGGCGTCTTGGGGACGTCTTGACCAGTGTTCATTTTGGATGGTCTTGAGGCCTTTCCGGCGTGTTGGCGCCCGTATGGAGCTATCTTAGAAGGTTGATTGAGCATCTTGGCGGCCACTAGAGGTGGATCGGAGGCTCCGAGGACCCCAGAAGTGCGTTGGGGAATTCGTGTGCCCCTCCTTTGGTGGGATTTTGGACCCCACGGGAAGGTTTCGAAAGGGGAAGGGCAAGCGGGGGTCGGCGGATTCATCCACCGCCACCGTCTCCCTTCTCCCACCTCCCTCCTCTAGCCACTTTTTTCTTCGTTGCCACTTTGTCGCTGTTCATCCCCCCCTCCCCCTGGTTTGACTCCACACCCCCTTCATCCTGACCTTCCCCTCATCACCACTGGTGGCGGAAACGGTTTGCCTGCGAACGGCAGCGGGGCAAATCATTATATCCCTTTTTTTCTCCCGAATGTGTATATATATATATATATATATATATATAGCAGTGCCTTCATCCCAGTCCGGAAGCCGAGACTCACCATGATTTCAGACTCCAGCGCGCGGGCTTCCAAGCAAAGGACATGATTCTTCGAAAGAGCGCTTTCTGCCGCTACTGGCAAGCCCCCCCCCCCCCCCCTGGTTCGAACCAGGGAGGGGGAGCTAAAACAGCATCCTATTCCGAATCAGGGTCCGAATCAGGGGGGGGACCCCGAAAATGGGATACATCACCACCAACTAGGACGGATTCCAACTTTCGGTACCAATCCAAAGCAGTTGGTGACAATTACAACCGCTTCGGAAGCTTCTGCGGTTCATTAAAGGTTGCTTCGAGGTTCCTTAGCGACCCCTCAGCGGCTCCGTGGAGGCTGTTTACCGGCCCCCTAGAGTTTCCTTCGATGTTCCTTCAAGGAACTTCAAGGAATTCTGAAGGATTCTATATGACTTCTGAGGTTTCTGTGGGATTTCTGAGGATTCCCGAAGGAGTTTGGAAGATCTCTAAAACGGAGTTCTGAAGGAGTTCTGCAGGATTCCTGGGGATGTCTGAGGAATCCTAAGGATCCCCGACGCTTCCCGAGGATCTCTAAGAGATGTCTAAAGGATTTCTCAGGGTTCCTCCAGGATTGTAAAGGATTCCTGAAGGATTCTTATGGGATTCTTGAAGGATGCCTGCGACCTCCACAGGGATTCTCGAGGATTTTTTCTGATTCTGGAGGATTCCTGAGGGTTCCTGAAGACATTCCTGAGGACCCCTGAAGGATTTCGCAGGCTTGCGTCTGGATTTCTGGAGATTCCTGAGGATTCCCGAATGATGTTCAGGGTTCCTGATGTTTTTTTTTTTTTTTTTTTTTTTTTTTTTGAAAATGATGGATATCTGAAAATCGCGAAAGATTCCTGGGGATGTCTGAGGATTCCTGATGGATGCCCAAAGGATACGCGAGGAG